GATGGATGGATGGATGGATGGATGGATATGGATGGGTGGATGATGGATGGATGATGGATGGATGGATGGGTGATGGGTGGAAGGATGATGGGTGGATGGGAGGATGGATGGATGGATGAGTGGAAGGCAGTGTGGGAGGAAGGGACAACTGGCATGTGCATGTCTTCCTGTGTCCAGGGCCCATTTTTGGCCTCAACCAGAGACCCATGGAGGCGAGGCTGACGTGAGAGCCATCTGCCCTGACTTGCCCACCTCTCTCCACAGGTGCCACAATGCAAGTGAAGAAGTACCTGCTGAAGTGCCTGCACCGGCTGCAGAAGGGCCCTGGCTACACGTATAAGGAGCTGCTGGTGTGGTACTGCGATAACACCAACACCCATGGCCCCAAGCGCATCATCCGTGAGGGGCCTAAGAAGAAGGCCATGTGGTTCGTGCTCACCCTGCTCTTCGCCTCCCTGGTCTGCTGGCAGTGGGGCGTCTTCATCAGGACCTACCTGAGCTGGGAGGTCAGCGTCTCCCTCTCCATCGGCTTCAAGACCATGGACTTCCCGGCCGTCACCATCTGCAATGCCAGCCCCTTCCAGTAGGTGGTCTCTGGGGGCTTCTGTTTTTAAGCATCTTCCCAACTTTTCTTCCTTCCCTCTCCTCCCTACCTCCTTCCCCTTGCTTCCCTTCTCCTGTCCTCTCCTTTCTTTCCTTCCTTCTTTGCCTTCCTTCTTTCCCTTTCTCCTTCTCTTCTTCATTCTCTCTTTGCAGCAACAAAGATTCAAAATTCATAAACCTCCTAGGCTGAAAGAGCCTAGGCATGCCAGCACCTATTTATTGCGTCAATATGCATTTATTGCGCACCTGCTACATGCCAGGTACTGCTCTGGGCACTGAGAATGCATCAATGAGCAAAAGAAACTCCCTGCCCTGTTCACAGAAAAAAGACATTAATACTTTTCCATAAACACTGATCTAATTGTATTTGTGAGGATAGAAAACAAACAGAAATCACATATCATAGCTTAGGAGGTGCCAAACAATGTCCCCAGATTGCTGCTGGAGAACTAGGGCCCCAGGATTGTAGACCTGCCCCTCGTCCCTGGCTTCCTTTCCTTCCCTGGGAGCAAGAGAGCAGAACACTTTGTGCAACCAGCTCACCCACCAGAGCCCATCGCCCTGGTTCCCACCTCAGCTCTGCCCCTTATTGTGGCATGAACTTGGGAAATCACAGCACAGCCCAGCGCCCAGGTCTCCTTCTCTGGACATGAGGATCAGAACTATGGCAAAGATTAAATAAACAAAGACATGGAAAACATTGGAAGCTGGCACGTGAGCTCACTAGAATGTGAATTTCATAGGGAAAGAGACCAGATTGGACTTGCTTGCTAGTGGGTCCTCTGCTTTACACCGTGTCTGGCACATAGAAGGTGTTCATGAAATATTTGATGGGTGAATGTGAGGTGGAAGGACGCAGAAGGTGTGTGGGTGGGCGCAGAGGCGGTGCCTGGGCAGGGCTTGGGGGCAAACTTGCCAGGGAAGGCAGACTGCAGTGCCCCTTCCTCTCCTGACCCACTGTCCCCCCACTCAGGTACACCAAGGTCAGCCATCTGCTCAAGGACCTGGATGAGCTGATGGAAGCAGTCCTAGACAGGATCCTGGCCCGAGAGCCGAGCCAGAGCAATGCCACCCGGGCCCTGAACTTGGCCATCTGGAACCACACACCTCTAGTCCTTATCGACGAGCGGAACCCCCACCACCCCGTGGTCCTCGATCTCCTTGGGGACAACCACAATGGCTCAGCCAGCAGCAGCCTGGCACCAGGAGATGTCTGCAATGTCCACGGGTGCAAAATGGCCATGAGACTAGTAAGTCGCCCCCCGGGCACACGCCCTAGGCACTGAGCTGGTTTTCGTTAATGACCTGGGCCCAGTGCCTGTATGTTTGCATGACTTTTTGAAAAAAATGGAAACTGTCGGTAGGTTGGTGTCTGTCCTTTGGATGCAAGTGACCAGCTCAAACTAGCTCACGCAGAACAGGGAGTCCGTCGGCTCAGTGCTGAGAAGTGGCTGGATCCAGGCTGTCAAGTGCTGTCACCAGCATGCCAGCACCCACTGCCTGGGTCCCTTTCGTCAGCTGTAAAGCAGGCGTGTCCCTGGTGGCTCAGCAGCTCCCTGGGTCAGGCCCTGTTGGACACATGTGTGCGCACCAGGGGCGGGGGCAGAGATTAGTAGACGTGAAGCCCCAGGACAGGCCAGGGACAAAGTGAGTGTTAAGTGTCACCACCCGGGGTGGGGGAGGGGAGTGCGGAGTCCCAGGAATGGGCCCGTGCAGCCAGGAAGGCCACCTCAGACAGGGAGAAGCTGCTCCAGGGATCTAGGAGAAAGGGCCTGGTGAGGGCCAGTAGGGGCAGAGAGGTCAAGGCCGGCATCCCAGGCCCAAGCCTATCTTTGTGAGGGAGCCTGCCCCTCCATGGGGCCTTCCCCTGCTGGGAGACACAACCTCACAGCCTGAGTCCCTGGGTCGGCCCAGCCCTGCAGAGTAGCCTCTGCAAGTCAGGGTTGGGGTAGAGTGGGAAAGGACTCAGGGCGGTGGAGGGCCCGCGTGTGTGTCCGAGCTGCGGGTGCACGAGAGTGGGGCCGCTCGGTGAGTCCGGGCCGGGGCGCAGCGCGGGGATGTGTGTGCGCAGCTGTTCCCGTGACCTCCTGGGGCTCTGGTGTCAGACGTGGGCCTCTGCGGACCTGTGTCCTGTGGGCATGTGCGTGCACACGTGTGTGTGTGTAGTGTGGCCACGTGTGTGTTGTGGGTGTTCGAGGGGTGTGTGCTCCTGTTAGCTGCCTCTGGGCTGCTGGTGACTGAGCGTCCCTGAGAGGGGACGGACAGCCCCTGAGCTCACGGAGCCGGGGCGCCGCCCGACGAGGCCGAGCCCGCAGGCCCCTCGGGCGGTGGAGGTGCCCGGGCAGCAGCCCCGGCCCACAGGAACCCTCTCGGCCTCCGCAGTGCAGCAGAAATGGGACCGTGTGCACCTACCGGAACTTCACCAGTGCCACCCAGGCCGTGACGGAGTGGTACAGCCTGCAGGCCACCGACATCTTCTCGCAGGTGCCGCGGCGGGAGCTGATGCAGATGGGCTACCCCGCCGAGCGGCTGATCCTGGCCTGCCTGTTCGGGGCAGAGCCCTGCAGCCACAGGTGAGCCCTGCCTTCAGCACGTTGGCACCCAGGGCCCCGCCGCCCGACCGTGACCTCTGCACCCCCACGGCTTTGGTCGGATTCTGGAGGCCACCGCTTCAGGAAAAGTCTGAAAGGAAAGCCAGACAGAAGGGAGGACAGTCAGGTGACGGTGGGGGCCTGGCCTCCCCTGCGGGGTCTGGAGCGCAAACCACACGCAGAGCCCGGTCAGTCGGTCAGTCGGTCACGCTGGCTGGGCACGACCCAACCAGGGTCTCCTGACTTCCCAGGCCGGGGGCTTCTCAGGCGCCTGGAAAAAGGGGCTTTTGGTGAGTCTTGATAGGCTCCTGGGCCCACTCTCTTGGGGACGTTGCCTCAGTTCAGTTCGTTCAAGTCAGGAACCTTCAGGAAGTTCTATTTAGAATCAGCTGGAAGCTGTGGGCCCTCCGCCCTCCACGGTCACTAGCCGAACGCACCAAGCAGGCTGCACACCAGCCCCTGTGACGGGGAAAATTCGCTTGGCTGGCCGCATGCCGGATCCCACTTTCTCGTCCAGCTCCAGCGCCCTCTGTTCAGGGCCCACCTGCCCAACCACACCTGGCAGCTCTGGCACCAGGGCTGCAGGTTCACGCGCTCACTGAGAATACATGCAGTGCTGTTGTTGCAAGTGCACGGCCCCCCTCTCCCGAGCTGGCCTGGGGCACGGCCCCCCTCTCCCGAGCTGGCCTGGGGCACGGCCCCCCTCTCCCGAGCTGGCCTGGGGCATGGCCCCCCTCTCCCGAGCTGGCCTGGGGCACGGCCCCCCTCTCCCAAGCTGGCCTGGGGCACCTGGGAGTCCCCACCTCCAAACAATAATAATAAAGCAGAGAAGCTGTTAGCAGAAAAGAGGGGAACAGCTGGCTAGTGGGTGGACACCACGGCCTGTGTTGACCACGAGTGTCTGGGCCAGGCCAGTGACGCCTCCAGCTGAGTCTGGGGCTCAAACCTCGTGGAGGGGCCAGGCCGCCGAGCTCAAATCCTGGCTCTCTCTCGCACGCTGTGTGACCTTGACGGAGGCTCTTAACCTCCCTGTGCCTCAGTTTTCCTGCCCCCTTACAGGATGCAAGTGTGCCTGCTTTGCTGGCTAGTGCTGGATATTAAATGAGCTAATATGCAAGCGCTGACAGTAGA